AGAATGCCCTTAGTTTCAGACACCTTTAAGGAATGTGAATCTCTGGGACCTATAATTCTCAGGAAATGTTAACTGAATGTTATTTAACTATTTATAAAATACCTATTATCTTTAATTAGAATATGGAAGCATTAGATTTCTTTGAGTTAAAAGTGAACTTCAAAACAGTAAAAGTTAATTTGCTTTCACCACTGTTAAGTTATGTTTGAACAGTTGTAACAACAGATCTCCTATGTGCTTCAGGAAGAATTTTTAAAACAAAATATTTTCAGTCACAAAACTCTGGGATGATCTTATCTAAATGCTTTTAATTTCTGCTGTGTTAAACTTAACCTCAATTCAATTGGTTTTACAGGCAAAATAAACTTATATAATATGTGTAATGTAGGTATAATGTCAAGATTTTGATTTGCAGTTCTCAAAGAACTCTTTTGAAATGAAGACACAACCCACCTCAAAAAAAAAAAAAAAAAAAAGGCAATTGTGATAACAAAGTTTTTAAAAACAGTCTAAGGTAGCTTTTGTGATTTCTAGTCTCAACTCTGTCAATGGCTTACTCTGTGAAAAAGAGTTTTATGTAAGATCTAATTTATGAGAATTATATTAGTTATTTTCCATTCTAAAATGTCCATTTTGAAAGCTGAATCTTCATTACCTAAAAAAATTTAAAATACAGTAGAACCCTTTGAGATGAGAATATTATCAGCCCCATATTATAGATACAGAAATAAGTGAATTTGCTGTGGAGAGGATCAGTCAAAGGAGCCCCAAGTCACATTATTGCCATGAGGCAGGGCTGGGACTTGAATCCAGGTCACTGACTCCAAAAGCCAAGCTCTCAACTACTCGGCAAGGGAGTCTCAAAAAACACCCTCAGGTATAGGCAGGTAAAGTGAGGGGAGCCAGTAATGGTGTGACTGAGGTGAATTGGAGAGTACCTGTTCAACTAAAGGCAGCTGCAGGTACTTGGTTCCAAAACTATGTAGTCAAGCATATATGCTGAACTCGAGAAATCAGACTAGCTGGCAAGCAAGATATTTAGATTGTGAAATCATGTGACTTTAAAATATTGTATCAATTTTTTTCTTAAAAAATATCTATTAAAATAGATTATTTTAAAAATCTAGTAATGCTAACGAGGATATGGAACAAGTAGAACTCTCAAGCACTACTGGTGGGAATGCAAAAATAGTATGGCCACTTTGGAAAATAGTTTGACATATTCTTATAAAGTTAAACATATACTTACCACATCTAACAGTCCTACTCCTAGGTATTTTCTGAAGTGAAATGGACCTATATTCACACAAGAAGCCAGACTTAAAGGCTACATACTGTATAACTCTAAGACATTCTGGCAAAGGCAAAACTATAGAGACAGAAAACAGATCAGTAGTTGCCAAGGACTAGGGGTTAACTACAAAGAGTAAGCACAAGGTAATTGGTGGGAGGAAATACTGCAAATCTTTATTGTGGTAGTGATTACATGACTGTACATGTTTATCAAGACTTGGTGAACTATATACTCAAAAGAATGAATTTAACTGTGTAAATTATATCTTAAATAATGAGGAAAATAGTTGAAAGGTGAAAAAAGCACCAATTATATAAAACCTTTTGTGATATAATATGCATGCTTATATGTAACTAAGCAGTATATTTTCTTCTCTGCTGTGTGATTATTTTACATTGTACAGACAGTGAGTTAAGATGGCAAGTAATCTGACATATTTAGAAAAAAGACAAGTATAATTTTAAGACCTATTTCACTCTGTGAAATAAAATTTATAGCACTCTAAAGCCTTGTACTTTCTGGGATCCTAGACAAGAACTTCAGAGACTGGTATACTATGAAAATAGTATCTAGATTATTAATAAGGAGTCCGGTTAAAGTATGCCCTTTATTGAGATAATAGATTCAAAAAGTGTTTTGCAGATTTTGAAGAACTCTACAAATATTAAATAGAATGGTGTGGTAAAAAGCACAAGCATCAGGGTCAATCTGCTTGATTTAAATCCTGTCTCTACCACTTATTAGTGTGTGACCTTGGACAAATTACTTAATCCCTCTGAGCTTTATTTTCTCAACTGTAAAATGTAAAATCCTCAAAGCATTTTTGTAAAGACTAAATGGAAAATATGCTTTTTTAAAAAGCACTTATAAAGAGTTAAATAAGTTATCTTACTCATTTACATAATGTTGAAAATGTGAAGACTTTCATCTTCTATTTTTAATTTAACTAAAAACACTGGTTTCTTGCAGGAATTAGGAGTAATCTAGAATCATTCAGAGAGCCTACTTGGAGTGGCAGCAGACAGGGCAAGGGGGTGGCTGGCAGTGGCTGTAGTTGCTACATCAGCCCTGTCTTTGGAACCTGACTTGGGCAACACAGCTGGCCATGGGCCAGTCATTGTTGGCCTCTGTTGTGGCCCCTCTTCCACTCCACCTCATAAGGTGGGCTAGGGAGACCTAGGCACCTAATTTACCTCAGCTCCCCTCCAATGTTCTTATTTTCACACCTCTCCCAGCCCAGGCTTTCCTGTTCTTCTCTATCCAGGCTATGAAGGAAGGTGGGGAGGAAGGAAGAGGGGAATGGGAATCTTTGTTTCTGCTTTCTTTACATTCTGAAAAGATTTACATAGTTTGGTGACTAATCATTAGCCTACTGTGACTAATCATTGCTACTGTGCCCTAGATTCTGTTTGCTACCTGTTTTGAATAACGTTCATTTTTGAAATAATTTAATGATGCCCCCCTCCCTTATTTACAGGAATCTCTCTTTGAAGGAATCTGAAAGGTTGTGACAAAAAGTGATGAACATGAACATCATTGTCAACATAACGCAAAAATAAAAGAAAATTTATTTGTAAAAAACGAGTCAATTCAGCCTTAAAGAGGTCTGAAACGTTTGATTTCTTTACCTTTATAGAACTAGGCAACATCATCTTTTGTGGTTTGTATCTTCATGGTATCATCTTATGTGAGAAAAACCTTTAAGATTTGTTTCTTTATTGAATCAGAAACATTGCCTCCCAATTGCTTTATTCCTCATTATATATCATTTATTGGAAAAATAAAGATGTGCTTTCTCCTTCATTACTAAGTAATCCTTCTTTTGAACCAATGGTGTTTTGGGGTGCTTCTGTCTAAAGTGTACATCTAATTACAGTTACTGAACGGGAATTGACAAAGTGAGGATTATTCTGATTCACGAATATACTAGTGTAGAACCTGGTAGTTGCAATGTGAATATCTGTTGTAAAGTATGAAGTGATGTCGCGTATACAAGAGCAATTTTATGAATGGTATCGTAAACTTGTAATTCTGTCTTGACCCCAAAGATTTTTAAATGTCCCGCTCTTCGAATAACTTGTAGGCACTATTTCGAGGATATACGAATTAGTTGCTAGAAAATGCTGTGCGTCCACTCAGACTGCCTCTGAAGGCGAGGGGTCCGACGTGCGGAGGCCGCGGAGGGCCGGGGCGCCGCGGGCCTGACGGAGCCCGGACCGCGCCCCGGGGGAGCCCCGCACTGCACCGAGCCGGCCGCGCTTCCCGAGGGTCCCCAAGTGCAAGGCTCCTCAGCGAGTTCCCCGGGGGGGACGGGGCCAGGACGAATTTTATGTCCAAATAAGGACATAAGCGGCGCCCCGCGGGGGCGTCGGATGGCCTGCCAAGGGTCCGCTCCCAGGGGAGAAGCGACCGCCACCCCAGGGTCGTTCACTCAGGTTTCGGGAATTTCCTTAAGCTTCGCCGGCTGTGGGAGCATTCGAGGGGAGTGCGGTTCACCTCTGCGCGGCTCTTAAACTAGTCACGGCGCGCCGAGGTGGGGCACTCGTGCTTTAAGCACTTAGGACGGCGTGAAACATTTACCTTGTGGTGAAATAAAAGGCTAGCGCAGCGATCCGGCAACTCCACGCTGCCTCACTTTAGCGGCAGCGTTCCCGGAAGGCTCCCGGACTCACTCTGGGGGCTCGCGACACCGCGCTGGGGTCCCAGAGCCCAGACTCCGGCTCGGGCCCCTCTCGCCTCCCACCCCGCAAGCGCGAGACCTGGGAGATCCTGGACGCGCGGGGGCGGGACCAGCCGAACACCCACCCCCTCTGGCCCCGCCCCGCCGGGTGGTTTGATTAATGACTTTCCCCGCGGCTGAGAAGGTGGCTCCGCCAGGGCACAACCCTGGGGACAAGCCCTCAGGTGGGCGCGGACCTCCGCAGGTCCTGCTGTTGAGGCCCGACACCGAGCTTGGCCGGCAGGCACGTCTGGCCTCCGGGACGCCTGCATAAAAGGCGTGCCCCCCCGAGGCTGGAAGCGGCGGTCAACTTCGGCTGGCTGAAGATGGAGTGACCGGCGCGGCCCTGGCCACGAAGACCCGGCTCGACGCTCCCGGCCCGCTCACACAGCGGATCAAAGCCCCTCACCGCCGCTTCGGGAGAGGTGAGGACCCCAGTCCGACCCTGGCCGCGCCGGCCCCGGGCCGGAGGGTAGCGGGTGCCTTGGTCCGAGGTGTGGCCAGCGGTCCTCCACTCCTCCGGCAGAAATTACCCTCGGCTCCCTCCGCCGCCCCTACCTTGGGACGAATGGCACGAGGGTGGCGGGCGTGGGTGCCGGGCTCCGCGAAAATAATCAGCACTGTCTTTCCTGTGGGGCTGGCAGGATAACGTTCCAGAAGCGCGAACAAGTTCCGAACCAGAGCTTCCTTCCCTGGTAGAGTAGCACTTTCGCTTAATTTGTCGGTGAAAAATAAAGCCCGCACCGCGCCCCTCCTCGGTCTTCTAAGGAGCCCAGGAACTCTGACACCAAAGCCTTCCCCAGACGGGGAGGCAAGCGCGCTCCAGCCGAACAGCCTCCTCTCGAGGAACGCACCGAGGACTTTGGGCGGCCGGGCGGGCGCGCAGGCATAGCAAGAGGGCTGCTCCTCCCCGGGTTAAGCCCGACTGGGGCCTCAGCCTCACTGCGTTTTGTGTCCTTTGCAGGGCGCGCGGCGCGGGACTTCGCAATGGACCGCCGCGGCCCCGCAGGCAGCCCCCTGATCGCCAGCAACGAGCCCGCGCCCCCTGCTGCCACCATTCGAGACTCGAGCCCGGTGCCGACCGGGCCAGGGCTGACCGGCACAGGCGGCGGCGTGCGCTCTGCCGGCGGGCGGCCCGCCGCAGCTAACGCAGCGCGGGAGCGCAGCCGGGTGCAGACTCTGAGGCACGCCTTCCTGGAGCTGCAGCGCACGCTGCCGTCGGTGCCGCCGGACACCAAGCTGTCCAAGCTGGACGTGCTGCTGCTGGCCACCACCTACATCGCGCACCTCACCCGCAGCCTGCAGGACGACGCCGAGGCGCCGGCGGACCCCGGATTGGGTACCCTTCGCGGCGACGGCTACCTGCACCCCGTCAAGGTAGGGGGGCAGGACGCACTGCGGAACTGGGGCGGGCAGCGAGGCACTTTGACATACCGGGTCTGCCAGCACCTGGGCAGATGCTACCGAACTCTCACCCCTCCCTCGGGGTGAGGCGGGGAACAGATCCGCCGAGGGAACTCGGCCGTGAGGTCCCCACTGCAAAAGGCTTACTTTTTTAACTTACTACCTAACCATTTAGCAGGTTTAAACTGGGGGTGGCTGGGTACGTGTGTCTCACGCTCCTTAGAGGATGCATCCTACAGGATGCCCTGTCCAGGTGAGAGATTTCTCTGGGGCGCCTGGTGAGGTGCTTGGTTGCACGTCCAGGTAATTTTTAGTATCAGAGTTATATTTATGATCCTTTTTGTTTGTGTTTTTAATTTACATAATTACATTTCCATTGTCGTTTTTATCAGCTGTTTGAAAAGTTTCACGAATTAAATATTTATGAACTATGGGGTAATGGAATTATCTGACCCGTAGTAATCCTAGGAAACCAATGTTGAAAATTTTTTGTAAAACTGGTAAGAACAAAATGAGACCGTTTTGCATCCCCACGGAGTAAATTTTAGTACCTTTTAATAAAGGTTAACCATCATGGATTAGACAGCCACCAAGAGTGTTAGAAAAATAATAATGTGTTTATGTAATTTATACACAATAAATTGGTATATACGTTGAGCTGATTAAATATTGTATTCAATTTTTGTAATGCATAAAGTTAGCCAAGAGAATCTGTATAATTTTTTTTACATTTCATATTTAGACTCAGTATTTAGTCTCTGCATTGTCCTTTTCTCCTAGAATTGTTTTGAAATTCTACATTAATCTGGCTTTCTGTTCAAAATATGTCATATTCCCTATATATCCTCTATATTTCCTAAACCTAAATTTTCACATTTTTGGTTCCACCATTCTGAAGCATTTGGTCACACACACACACATGCACACACACACAAAAATACAAAATTATAAGTTAGTCTTACCTATATCAGTGTTCAATCAATTATTGAATAATCATTATTGAAATGTGGTTAAAAAGTATGCCCTCTAATATTAACTGAACTTAAAATGCTGTGGTAAGGTTTAGCAAAATTTATTTTGCAAACATAATCAATATGATTAAAGGCTTATACTATTTTAAATATTAAATATAAAAACTTAAATATTATTTATTTATAATTATGAAAGTTATTATTCCAGTCATGTGTTATATATAGGGTGGAGCAAAAGTAGGTTTACAGTTGTTCATATGGAAAATAATACAATAATTAATAAATAATAATATAAGAATAAACTGTTTTGCATACTCTCATCTGTAAACCTATGCCCCATCCTGTTTAACAATGTCAGCTGAAAAGCCATTCATTATTAATTAAGGGTTTGTATTACAGTGTACATTAGATTGCTATTCAAAGATATTAATATAAGATTTGTTTGACTTGACATTTTAAACATTAAGTAGACTTCACTACAAAAAGCATCTGTTAAATGCCTCTTTGTGAGAGGTATAATTCAGATGAGAAATCAAGTTGTTTTGCACCTTAGTGTCTTGCAGTGCGTTTTTGAATGGCGTTAGAACCATAATTTTCAGGTAACAATAAGCTTAACAAGAGGTTTTTTTAACTTGATTCATGTACCAAATGTTTTTGTAGTCCTATAACACTTTTAAGAATAATTAAATCTCATTTGTCCTCTGGATTGATTATTTTGATTTTAAAAGACAACTCTAGGGATAATGAAACAAGGTCAAAGATTATCTCCTAATGAAATTGGTTACAATTGAACACATGACTAGAGTGTTTTAAAATCATTTGTGAGTGCCTACTATGTGCAAGTCATTGTGTGAGCAGAGTGAATGCAGTTAAGGATAAGACTCAGTCCCTGCCCTGAATGAACGTATTCGTTCATAATAGTGACAAAGACAAAAATGAGTTTATTCTTATATTATTATTTATTAATTATTTTACAGGTACTACCAAAAAGGCTTAAATATGAAATCTATCTTTGACTAAACTAATACAAACAAAAATGTTCTGACTATTTGTATTTTTTGGTTAACTAAAGGTATTTTAACCCTTAGCATTCCAAAGACCTTAGAATTAAACTGGTTATATGATACCACCCTCTAAAAAAGAAAAGGTCCATCTGAAAGGGCTACTTATGTAATATATTTTTTTCATTATCATGATTATTTGGCAATAAATTATATTGTTTAAGAGGTTGTTCATTTTTTGCCCTGGATGGTTTGGCTCAGCGGTTAGAGAGTCGGCCTGTGGTCCAGAGAGACCTGGGTTTGGTTCCCGCAAGGGAGCGTACCTCAGTTGCAGTTTGTGCCCGGCTCTGGTTGGTCATGCAGGTGGCAGCCACTCACTGTGTCCCTTTCACATCGATGTTTCTCTCTCTCTCTCTCTTCTTCTCTCTCCCTCCCACTCTATCCGAAAAATGGAAAAATGTCCTCGGGTGAGGATAAAAAAAAAAAAAAGAGGTTGTTCATTTTAAAGGTGAATTTTTAAAAAGTCACAATTAGAATACAAATGTGATGATTACTGAAAGATTAGAGCTGTTTGATCCCAGTATAACCAGACATTTAATTTGTATGTTCTAGCTATATAACATCAAACATTCTAATATTTATAATTTCCAGATACTGCTTTTTAGCTAGATAAAATGTTTAGATAGTCAAATTAGTCACTTTTGCTATAGTTCTTTGATAAGTGTAGACACATAATACTTACCATGTATAACATTTTTTTTTTTTTTAATATGCAACCCTTAAGGAATTTGGGGCCATGCTAATCTCTGTATCATTCCAATTTTGGTATATATGCTGCTGAAGCAAGTCACTTACCACGTATAACTTTTTAAAAATATATTTTATTGCCCTGGCTGGTTTGGCTCAGCAGTTGGAGCATCGGCCTGTGGTCCAGAGAGACCCGGGTTTGGTTCCCGCTAATGGCATGTACCACAGTTGCAGTTTGTCCCCGGCCCTGGTTGGATTGTGTGGGTGGCAGCCACTCGATGTGTCCCTTTCACTTCGATGTTTCTCTCTCTCTCTATTCCTCTCTCCCTCCTACTCTATCTGAACAAAAAATGTCCTCTGGTGAGGATAAAATATGTGTGTGTGTGTGTGTGTGTGTGTGTGTGTGTATACATACATATATATTTTTTTATTGATTTTTTTTTGAGAGAGGAAGGGAGAGAGAGTTAGAAACATCAATATGAGAGAGAAACATCGATTGGCTGCCTCCTGCACACCTGCTACTGGGGATTGAGCCCACAAACTGGGCACGTGCCCTGACTGGGAATCAAACCCAGACCTCTCAGTCTATGGGACGATGCTGGGACAATGCTCAATTCACTGAGCCACACCGGCTGGGCATAATGTATAATTTTTTAAAAATATTTTTTTCTTTATTGATTTTAGAGAGAGAGGAAGAGGGAGATTGAAACATTGATGAGAGAGAACATCGATTGGCCACCTCCTGTATGCCTACAATGGGGGATCGGGCCCACAACCTGGGCATGTGCCCTGACTGGGAATTGAACCGGCAACCTCTTGGTGCATGGGTCGACACTCAACCAGTGAGCCACACCAGGCCGAGCGTAATTTTTAAAAATATCTTTAAAGCCAAGGATCTTGTTTTAGGCTTCATTTGAAATTAAAAGATTGTGGGTAGATATATTTTCCTACACTTAACTATATTCATTTTCGATGATTTGTTGGCTGCATGTACACATACTATTTTATACAGTTATAATCAAAGTTTGGGTATATTTTTATTTATTTGTTTTTTTGTTTGTTTTGGTTAATCCTCACCCAAGGATATTTTTCTATTGATTTTTAGATAGAGTGGAAGGGAGGGAGAGAGAGAGAGAGAAACATTGATGTGAGAGAAACACATCGATTGGTTGCCTCCCGCACAACCCCAACTGGGGCCAGGATGGAACCTGCAACCCAGGTACATGCCCTTGACAGGGAATCGGTCTGCAGGCAGATGATATAACTGCTAAGCCAAATTGGCCAGGGCTGTATTTTTATTGTTATGGTTAACATTAATAAATATTTTTTCATGTCCCTTAGACTTCATAATTACAATTGTTATTAGCTACATAAGATTGCATTTGCATTGAAGTATTTGGAACTATTATTATTATAATAATTATTCTTATTGTTGTTACAGATTATATCTGTCATAGATACTAACTTTTAGGTTCTTGTTTAAATATTCTTTTTCAGAAATGGCCCATGCGATCAAGATTATACATTGGTGCTACTGGTCAGTTTCTGAAGCATTCTGTCTCTGGAGAAAAAGCAAATCATGGCAATATTCCAACAGACTCACCGCCTTAGGCTGTCCCCTGATGGGTGCTGAAAGAAAGTGATTTCTATTGTTTTTAAATAGTATGAAATAATTCTATATTTATTACATCAGACATAACGAACATCATTTCTGAAAGTTTACATAAGAATCCATCGTTGAGTTTTCAAACTTATCTGTCTGATCTAAATAAATGTGGAATGAAATAGTCTTGTATAAAACACACAGTTTATCTATTCAGTGTGAGAAGTGGTCACTACTATATAATGCAGGAGAAACTATTGAAACAAAAAAGATACACAAAAGCTGAAAACTACATATATCTATAGAATGCACACATTTTCCTATAGTGTATTCTAGTTTTAAAAAAACGCTGTATTTGAAATACACTAGTATTTCATTTTTGTAAAAACCAGTCTATGCTTAAAGTTTGTCTAAGAAGCCATTTCAGTTGCAAGGTGTGATGTCATTATTCAGTTTCAGTTGAATATGTGTGAAAAGACTGCGGAGGTAATATGATGATGCAGTAACTTCTATAACTAGTTATTTTTTCCTCTTAGAAAACTTGTTTGAAATATTAGAAATGGTTTGCTTCATAGGACAGGGCTTGTCCCCCATCCTAGAAGATTACTAAATATCTAATTATATTTCCAAATTGTGGAAGGCATTGGAAATCCCTGCAGCCCAGTGTACAAAACAGCAGATGGGTGTCACTGGGCAGCAGGGTTCATTACCCTCCTCCCTGTTCATTCCATATCCGCCCACTCTCTTTCTGGTCCTGGACTAGCTGAGCAGGTGTGGCTGCAGCCACCCTACAGAGAGTGAGCTCCCTTTACCCTCACAGTCACAGCTTTGGCCAGGCTCCTCCCCTCATCAATCGCTGTTCACAGTCTACCTATTTGGTCATCAAGAAATGGGAGAAATCCTGTATGATTTGGGAATTCTGTCACTGATCTCTGTCTCAAGGGGGTCTGAGGACACCGAGTGACCATCCTGAGGTACATCAGGCCAGCGCAGGCCCTCCTGAACCTGCCCTGATTTGAACCTACAACCAGGGAAGGCCCTCTGCTCTGGGCCTCTCCCACCACACTGCACATCAGGTGCTATGAAGTAGAGCTGTTGGTCAGGGAACATACTGAATCTCAAAACCAGGTACAAAAGAAACACCTGAAAAAAAATCTCCAGTCTCTTTTGTCATATCTTTGCTGACTTAGATTTCCTATTTCCTTTTCTTGTTTTTTCCCTCAGTCTTTTATTATTCCACTTTCCAACTGTAAAGTTCATTTATTTCTCAGTGACCCTGTTTTAAAGTTGCTGAATTTGATCCAAGATTAGCAAATACAAAGGCACATTAATGGGCTTGGTTGAATTAATATTGCAGTTGAAACACCACTTTATTTTCTTCTCACCTCAGTTTTCTTTAAGCTTTTGGCAGTGAAATGAAGTAAAACATCAGTTGAAGGCAAAAACTACCATTCATTTGATTCAACCGAACATGAGCATATTTTGCTCATATCTGATAGTTTGTAACTTTTATTATTTTAATGTGAATATCTCCTTATAATGTAATGGAAGCATGTCTTTAAAAGAAAATATACACAATCAAAGCTTTGTACATATTAATATGTAGCAAAAGTGTTTGTATATTTAAATATTTGTGAATATATTTACTCATGTAACATTGAAAGGGATAAAAAGTAAAATGAGATATGGATTCAGCCATTCACTATCATAAAAAGTGCTAAGAATAATATTTTACCTTAAGGAATGAAATAAAAACTTCTTTAAAGTTACCTGAAAATGAACTATAAACACTAAATTTGATAGCAGGAATTTCAGCAAAATGGCTTTCTTGCTTATAATCTATTTGGTTACAGTTGTAAAAGCATTTAATTGGTGGTGGGGGGGTATGACTTTTGCTGAATTGTCAGAATTTTCCAAATCATCCTGTCAGTTACTTTGCCTTTTACAGTATTACTTTTTATTTCTTCTTGTCCAGTTATAAATGTTTTAATGCCAAAGAAGTATATTTCTGTCCTATGTTTTCATAACTTTTTAGTAAATTGCTAAATATACTAACAGATTTTGGTAGGTTGGAAAATACCAGAGGAGAAATTGCATGTTTTCACCCAAAGGTTCAAGGGAGCATGCTGTTTTAATTAATGATGCATGGTCCAGGTAAGAGATATTACTGAAATAAAATAAAGCACTAATTTGAAATTAATTTAGTCTGTTAAATTTGCATCGATCTTGCCCTGGCCAGTGTGGCTCAGTGGTTAGAGTGTCGCCAAATGATCATGGGTTCGATTCCCGGTCAAGGGCATGTACCTGGGTTGCAGGTTTGATATCCAGTCTGGGCACATGTGGGAGGCAACCAATTGAAGTGTTTCACATTGGTCTTTCTCTTCACCCCCACCTCTCTAAAAATCAGTGGAAAAAATAACCTCAGGTGAGGATTAAAAACAATTTTTTTGCATATGTCTCTGTGGCTATTTAACAAATACTGAAGATACATTTGAAAGTCTTTCTAGTAGATATATACTTGGCATTAGCTTCATCACCATGCTCTCCTTAGTGGAGTATATATTAAGACTGGGGAGGGGTTATATTTGGATCACAATATTATTCTATAATCTGCAAGTTAAATTTCTGTCAGTTCACTCATCAGTTCACTCAGATCTCTCAATGATATGAGATACATTTAAATTCCTCTATAATGATAATTTTGAGGGAGAAGGAAATGCCTTTTTAGAGGCCTGAATTCCAACAGACTTTAAAAATATTATTTCTTTTTCTGATTACAGAAACAGTGCAGTTTATTGTACAGCAATTATACATCAATAATCTATCTTAAAAATATATACATACCCCTTTTTAAAAATAAAATTAATAATAAAAGTAATGAAGTGGAAAATAAAAGTCCTACAATGGAGGTAGGTGTTTGGGATAAAGTTGGGGATGTCTGTTCACATGTTACTTGGTAATAAAAAGAGTAGTTCTGCATTTTTATAAGGCTTTTTGGACCCAACAACTTCTATCTACAGTTACAGATATCCTTAACATTGATTTTATCTATTCATGGAGACTGTTTAAACTTAGAAGAAACTGTGGGAAAAGAAAATAAATGCTGTTGACCTTACTGAAATGCACAGTAATTATTTTATTTGAAATTGCTTTTTAGGTTAAATTATTCCAATAATTTATTTTTCTTTCAAAAGACCTCATTTTATATTCATGAAAGCAACTAACCAGTTATTATCAATTAAAGAGAAAGTATTGAGGTTCCAGTAAAGTCCGTAGGTCTCTCGTTCTCTCTTGGTCTGTTTGTCTGACTCTTTCTCTCTGGAGTAAGCGGAGGTAATTCTGTATTTTCCAGAACATTATTTAATTTTTTTCTTCTGACCTTGGTGTATCATAGTGCCATTCTGAGGATATAAGCCAATAAAGACATCACCTCAGTGGCCAACATGATTACCTTAGAAATCAACTCATGAATTGTATTTGGCATAATTATAAGACAAGTTGCTTGTTGGTATTGCATAAAAGTATATTGTTCTAGCCCTTGCTAAGTGGTTAGAGCATCAGCCCTTGAACTGAAGGGTCTTGGGTTCGATTCCCGGTCAAGGGCATGTGCCCTGGCCGGTTTGGCTTAGTGGTTAGAGCATCAGCCTGTGGTCCAGAGAGACCCAGGTTTGGTTACCGCTAAGGACACGTACCTCAGTTGCAGTTTGTCCCCGGCCCTGGTTGGGTCATGCGGGAGGCAGCCACTTGATGTGTCCCTTTCACGTGGATGTTTCTTTCTCTCTCTCTTCCTCTCTCTCCCTCGTACTCTATCTAAACAAAAAATGAAAAAATGTTCTCGGGTGAAGATAAAAAAAAAAAGAAGGCACGTACCTGGGTTCAATATCCAGTGGGGGCACATGTGGGAGGCAACCAAATGAAGTGTCTCTCTCACATCGGTCTCTCTCTCTCTCTCTCTCTCTCCCCCCCCCTCTCCTTTCTAAAAATCAATAGGAAAAATATCCTCTGGTGAGAACTAACAAAAAAAACATTAGCCTTGGCCAGTTTGGCTCAGCAGTTAGAGCACTGGCCCATGGACCAGAGAGGCCTGGGTTCGGTTCTCACTAGAGGCACATACCTCAGTTGTGGTTTGTCCCCAGCCCTGGTTGGGGTTGTGTGGGTGGCGGACCCTCGATGTGTCTCTCTCACATTGATGTTTCTCTCTCTCTTCCTCCCGTTCTCCCTCCCGCTCTATCTGAAGATGAATGCGGAGGTGTCCTCAGGTGAGGATACCAAAAAATAAAAAAAATAATTTTATTGTTCTTAGCTGTCAAGGAGAAGAAATTATAAATCAAACAGATTGCTTTGATATGAATTTACACATTAGATGTCTTATTTTGAGGAGATGCCTTAATCTAAACGCTCTTTCCTAACTACATACAGATTATTGCAGATTATGTCAATTGTGTATTTTATTTGAAAAGCTATGAACATTGACTCTTCCAGCACTGTAAATTCTGTCTTAATTTGGTGACAAATTCTTTTTCTCTTAATCATTGCTGGAAGATGCGATATCTACAGTTTCCCAAATTACTTACAATTAGTAGTATACTATCACTGTCTTTCTCCACGGTACACACTTTTAATTTATTAGTTTTGTTGTTATTGTAACTTTAAAAATATCCAAAAGCTATCATGGTCAGTATGGCTCAGTTGGTTGAGCATCATCCCATGCACCAAGAGGTCACGGTCAAAAAAGAAAAAAAAATATATCCAAAAGCTAAGATTCCAACCTTTTAAAAGGAGCACTAGGGAAATATTGTAAAATTGTATATCTCAAAGAAATTAATGTGTACTTTTATTACATACTGGTAGATGGTGGTCTTGTATGTGGCTGTTTTACTGAGAAAAATATTAATGCCCCTTAAATCTTATAGATTTGCTTCCTGTGAACTTGGAGTACAGCCCAGATGGTACTGCAGCACAGTTGGGAATGAGGGACATTAAGTATTCTTGCCTGACTACATAAACC